GGAATCTCACTGTGTCGCTCAGGCTGGAATGCAGTGGCACGATCACGGCTTACTGCAGCTTCAAAATCCTGGGCTCAAGCGATCCTCCTGCCTCAGCCTCCTGAGTAGCTGGAACTACAACTGCACATCATCATACCCAGCTAACTTTTTTATTTTTTATAGAGACAGGGTCTTGCTGTGTTGCCCAGACTGATCTCTAACTCCTGGCCTCAAGGGATCTTCCCATCTCAGCCACCTAAAGTTTGCAGGCATAAGCCACCATGCCTGGCCAATTTTTGCAAAAAAAAAATTTTAAATCTTAAATTTTGTTCTTAAATCTTTTAAGAGTAACAAGTATCACACTTCCACTAAAATAGTTAAAATATAAAAGATACAATCAACTACTGATACACACAATGGCGTGGATGAAATTCAAAATGACTTTTGTAAGTGAAATATGTTTGATGTGAAAAGCTGTATAATTCTATCTATAGTACCTCCTAGGAAAAGTAAAACTATACACAGGAAGCCAGTCAGTGGTTGCCAGTTGCTGGGGGCCGAAGAAGGGAAGATTAACCACATGAGGGAAATTTGGCACGGTGGAATTGTGACTGTGGTGGTGGTGGAATGACTGTATACATTTGTCAAAACTCATTGAACTTTACGCTTGAAAGGAATGAATTTTACCGTATGCATATTATGCCTCAATAAACCTGATTTTTTTTTTTTAAGGCACCGATCAATCTGCCATCTTCTACAATGAAAAGGAAGACTATTTTAACCCTCCAAAAGCAAAGCCACATAATTTCTGAAAATAAGAGTAGTTCCTCACATCAAAGAAAGGTGTCTTTGGGAACAAGTCCTTGTTTCCCTCATTTACCTCCGGGCGAAAACTTGATAAGGGCGTGACTAAGGCAGGCCTGGGTTTCAGAACCCCTTGACCGTCACCTTTAAAGCCTTCACAGCTCCAGAGTCCTGTGACTCTGGTTATCCTGCAATTTTTACTAAAGCGAATTTGAATAATTGCACCCCTTCACTTATCTAATATTTGTTCCAGGGAACCCTTGATTTTCAACAAAACGTTTTTAAAAGATAAAATTCAACAGTCAGGCTCAGTGGCTCAGCCTGTCATCCCAGCACTCTGGGAGGCCGAGGCGAGTGGACTGCCTGAGCCGGCGGGTTCGAGACCAGCCCGGGCAACTTGGCAAGACCTCGTCTCTACAATAAACTTAAAAATTAGTTGAGCAAGGTAGCGTGTGCCTGTAGTTCCGGCTACTTGGAAGGCTGGGGCAGAAAGATCACCGGAACCCCGCAGATGGCTGCTAGAGTGGCCGTGCCACTGCACTCCAGCCTGGGTGAGGAAGTAAGACTCCAACTCAAAAAAAAAAAAAAGATAAAATTCCAGAAGGAAGAAGGGATGAAGGGCCGAAAAAGTCACCTATTAGGTACAAGGTGCACAGGTAGAGGGAGGCTTGCTGAAAGACCAGACTTCGCCACCATACAATGCAACCATGTAATCAAAAACTATCTGTGCCCCCTAAAGCTACTGAAATAAATTTTTTTTTAAGTTTTTTAAGATAAAATTCCCGGCAGCTGTAGGAAGAATATTCTCTAGAGGGTGCTGGGGAGGAATTCGATCAGCTGAGAGAGAATGAGGAAAAAATACAGTGCAGGGAAGGCGTGCCATATATTCCTAATAACCCTGATGCACATTGAGAAGCGATCCTACAGTTAACTAGATATCAAGTTTACGTTCCCTTTAAGCCTCTCGACATCTTCACTATTAGCGTCTGCTTAAGCAGCCTTGGCCTTCCTAACGCTTCTGCGGAATAACAAGGTCTGTTCACAGTTTTAAAATTACCATTTCCCAGCAGATCATGCCAGCCAGGATATGAATGAGTGGCGGTATCGATTTCACCTCCAGTGCTCCAGGAATCCTACAGGCTTAAACTTCTAAACCAGTCTTTATTTTGGTTCTAATATTAACAGATGAATCAGTATTCTTGAAACTAACCAGAGAACCTGTCAGGAAAACAAATTCTCCTTCAGAGAGAATCTTCAACTTCTTCACTTCTTTTTGACTATCATTAGGATGACTTCAGTCTTCCTTCTCTGCAGTGATTCATCCAAACACCAATACACTCAAATTTGGCTTCTCTACCTCAAATCCCACTCCCAACATAAATTCCAGATGAATCAATGATGTAACCATGATCATTAAACTATAAACTCACTGGGAGAAGACAATGAAGAATGCTTTCAAACTTTTGGAGCAAAGAGGCCCTTTCTAAACACAATGCAAACCCAAAAAAAAAGCCAAAAAATAATACATACACTTGACTACAAGAATGTAAATAGTCTATATAGGAAAAAAAATTATTCAAACTCAAAATACAAATTACCTACTAGAAAAAAAAATCTGTGGTACAAATGACTGGCAAAAACATATAAATATCCTTAATATACAAAGAGTTACTGCAAATCAAGAAAAAAGAACTCAATAGAAAAATAAATCAAGAAGATAAATTGGCAATCCACATTAAAAAAAAAAAAAAAAAATGGTCAAAAAAGATACAAAGACAAACTTAGCCCCAGTCATGATTTTAGAAGTGAAAATGCAAGTAACGGGCTATTTCCTTCTTACATCTGTGAGAATACCAAAACCTGGAAATTAATAATATCCACAGTAAATGACAGAGGGAAACAAACCCTTACACACAGAATTAGTGGGAGTACAAATGAGGGTGACTCTTTTAGAAGACAATTTAGCAATGTCTATGAAAACTTAGAAAGCATCCTATATGGTCCAGCAATTCCACTGGTATAAATGCATCCTATAGACATATATTTGTATGCCTTTAAGTGTATAGGTACAAAGATGTTCGTCTCAGCCTTATATGTAACAACAGTAAGCAACTCTAAACGTCCATCAGTAGAGGACTTAAATAAAGCACTGTCACCCATTCCTAAGAACACCATCTTGGCCATCCCAGAAAGAGTGAAGCAGACCCATGTGTCTAATATCAAAAAATCGCAAAATATATCATTAAGGGAAAAGAAAAAGAAAAAGAGAAATCAGTACGCATACGACTCCATTTCTGTAAAAAATAGATGTATATCTAGATACAGATAGATATATACACATACAAAAACATACTGACACATGCCTTAACTTACTAGAATAACACACAGGAACAGTTCAAAGCAATTATCTCTAATTAGTACATATGGCACTAGGTGGAATAAGTTCTTTTAATGTTATCCACTTCTGTCTTATAAAAAGTAAAAAGGAGGCCGGGCGCAGTGGCTCACCCCTATAATACCAGCACTTTGAGAAGCCGAGGCGAGAGGATTGCCTGAGCCCACAGGTTTGAGACCAGTCTGGGCAACTTGGCGAGACCTCATCTCTACAACAAATTTTTAAAATTAGCTGGGCGTGGTGGCGCGTGCCTATAGTTCCAGTTACTTGGAAGGCTGAAGTGGAAGGATTGCCTGAGCCTAGTAGGTCGAGACTGTGGTGGCTATGAGTGTGCCACCGCACTCCAGCCTAGACAACAGAGTGAGACTCCAACTAAAAAAAAAAAAAAAAAAAGGAAAAAGATACACAAAAAGGGAAAAAACCAAACTGCCCTGCCTAGGTGTGAATAAAATATTGATGAAATGCCCGGAAATCCTACTATAATTTCTGGAAAATAAAGTAGGCCAGAAGGAAGAAAAGCTTTAGAAATAGGGTCCTATCTATAGTTTCCAGAAGATTTAGCGTAGGTCAAGTTGAGGGGCGTCACAGTAACTATCCTGAGCTTGTCAAGGGAAAGGAGGTATCTCTTTAAAATTAAGTAAATAAAAAACGCTGTGAAGAAATCTTTTTGGGTGTTATTTAAAGGGAGAATAGTGAGGTCTATCTAAGTAAGATATTTCCCATGGCCTTCAGTTAGAAAGTGCCCAGGCAGGTTATAGAAGATGGAATCATCAGAAATTTGAGGTGTTGATAAGTACCAGATGCATGAAATAGGGTGAAAGACGGCAGCTGAGTACAGCAACTAAATCTGAACTAACAATACCAAAGGTATAGTCTTGTAGACATTAACTTTCGGGATTTTTCTGAGTCAGGGTCTCACTGTATTGCCCAAACTGGAGTGCAATGGCACGATCCTAGCTCACCGGAGCCTCCAACTCCTGGGCTCAAACGATCCTCCCACCTCAGCCTACCGAGTAGTTGGAACTACAGGCGTGCACCACCACACCCAGCTAATTTTTTAATTTTTTGTAGAGACAGAGGTCTTGCTATGTTGCCCAGGCTGGTCTTGAACTCCCGGACTTAAGCAATCCTCCTGCCTCGGACTTCCATAGTGCGGGGATTACAGGCGCAAGCCACCGTGCCCAGCCTGAACATTCATTTTAACAAATATGTGTTGCCTTGAATAGACGCATTCTGAAATGATTTCCTGCGTTTTATTTACTGCAAACCTCCACACACTAATCCACGAAAATGCCCACCTCCTGTTTCCCACACACCTGACACAAGATCTCCTAAGATCTGGAGTAGAAAATAAAGCATGCCTCGGATGCCAAGTCACCTGAGAACATTTTTTACACACTTAGCACGCAGAAAAAGCTCCTTGGAAGGTACATAACCAATTCGGGGTCTAGGTTTTATTTAAGGATTGGGGGCAACATTGGTCTTCACGAACAGTGAATCTGAAAACTCTGCCTCCAGTGACATCACCCTCCAGAGTGTCTCAACAGACCAATTAGCAACTGCCTGAACTGACAACAGAAGCATCTTTCCAGAACCAGCTCCCACGGTGTCTGCAGGCCTCCACCTTCTACCTACGAGAGCATCCTCTCCCCTTTCTCCTAGCTTTCAACCCAAGTGCAACAGGACAAGTAGGGATTCCATTATGGTGGATAACTTCGAAAAATAACATGAAAACCGCCTTCCCCAAAGAAACAGAAGATTGGGCCGAAAGGTAGCCATTCGGGTCACCCAAATGCCTCTTTCCTCTCCCAAGGTTATTTACCTTAGAATTCACTTCCATCTGGTACTTGGCGCAAGCGCGAAGCTGAGTCACCCAAAACTGTCTCTCTTTCGCATCAGCAGCTAAAAGAGAGAAAACAGAGAGAGAAATGCTTGCAGAGATTGTTCCAAAACACACCCAGCTTATCTCTACACCCACCCACGTGGGTGGGGAGCCCAGGGAGTGGGAGACTGAGGGAGAAGGCAGAAAAGGCAAGCCAGATCACGGCGTTCTCAAAAGGCCTGTGCTTACAACCAAAAAACAAGTTACCCACAATCTCCACAGAAAAGGTTCTCTTATTAAAAATGTATTCGGAAATAATCTGTCAGACGAATAATTTTGCCAGCCGGGTGCAGCGACTCACACCTGTCATCCCAGCATTTTGGGAGGCCAAGGCAAGAGGACTGCTTGAGTCCAGGAGTTCAAAACCAGCCTGGGCAACATAGCAAGACCTCATCTCTACAAAAATTTTAAAAAAAATTAGCCAGACATGATACTGCAAGCCTGTAGAACCAGCTACTCAGGAGGCTGAGGTGGGAGGATCACCTGAGCATAGGATTCAAGGCTGTAGTGAGTTGTGACCATGCCACAACGGCACTTCAGCCTGGGCCACAGAGTGAGACCTGAACTAAAAAAAAAAAAAAAAAAAAAAAGATTTTTGCATTTTTTTAAAACCTCCTCTGTAAAAGTCGTTTCTACTTTTTTTTTTTTTTTTTTTTTTTTTTTGGAGTAGGCGTCTCTCTGTTGCCCAGGCTGGAGTGCAGTGGCACATTCACGGGCACCGCAGCCTCGATCTGCCAGGTTCAGGTGATCCTTCCACTTCAGCTTTCCAAGTAGCTGGAACTACAGGCGGGCACCACCACGCCCGGTTAATTTTTTGATTTATTGTAGAGACGAGGTCTTGCCAAGTTGCCCAGGCTGGTCAGAAACCCCTGAGCTCAGGCAATCCTCTCACCACAGTTTCCCAAAGTGCTGGGATTACAGGCTTGAGCCACCACGCCCAGTCATTTCTACTTCTTTAAAAATGCAGCAGGGAAGGGACCACATGTTTATTTTCAAATGTCTTGACCTTGTGGAGTTAATATAAGTATCAAAGTACAGTTTTTCAGGGCCTTTTACTATGGACCCAGAGTTGTTCTGTGGGATTATTAGTATCCACAAAACAAGCATTCAGTTGAATTACCATTTGAATATGTGTTCTCAAAGATTCATATGATGATTAGACAGAGCGAGAGACACCAATGCTGCCTTAAAGAGACTCAAATTTCCCCGAAAGACATTCAGGTGCAAGTCAACTGCATGGTCATATTATCCCATCTACAGCCTGTCTCTCAAAAAATATACATAAAATTATTCTTGGTCGGGCTTGGTGGCTCAGCCTGTAATCCTACCACTTTGGGAGGCAAAGGCGAGTGGCCTGCCTGAGCCCATGGATTCGAGACCAGCCCGGGCAACTTGGCGAGACTTCGTCTCTACAATAAAGAAGAAATTATCCAGGCATGGTAGCACATGCCTGTAGTTCCGGTTCCTTGGAAGGTTGAGGCAGAAGGATCACCAGAGACCAGCAGGTTGACACTGGGGTGACCGTGAATGTGCCACTGCCCTCCAGCCTGGGTGACGGAGTGAGATTCCAACTCAAGAAAAAAAAAATTATTCTTAAACATCAAGGGCACATAATAGGTTCTAATAAAATCTAAATTGTTGATCTAACTGTAAAATTAACTGCATAAGTATTATAATATTAACTGCATAAATGCTGACTACACAGAAAACAGAATGAGTCTCCTGAAAATTTTAATTTTATAACTTTTTTAATTTTTATTTTAATTATAGAGACAGGGTCTCACTATATTGCCCAGGCTGTTTTCAAACTCCTGGTCTCAAGGGATCCTCCTGCCTTGGCCTCCCAAAGTGCTGAGATTTACAGGTATGAACCACAGTGCCCAGTTCCCCGGAAAGTATAATTGTTTACAAAAATGGTTCTATGTGTCATTTTTCAATAAAACCTGATGTCAGCTTGAACTTTCAGTGGAAGAACTTTAGACGGGCCAGGGACAAGTCTTAAATATGCAGAAATTTGGCCTGCTTTTTTTTTTTGTAGTCGATACATTTTAGCTAAACTCAGCACTTGGGATTGTTTCATGCAGAAAACAAAACTTTTGTATTTGCTATTAAGACGGCCCTCCAAAAAGACTTCAGGTTTAATAACCCAGAAAATTGCTCCATCATTTATGGAGCAATTGTCAAATTAGTCAACTTTTTCTTTGGTATGGGTTGGTGTCATCCTGTAAACCACAGGCGGGGGGCGGGGGGAAGGTGTCGTTAAGTTGTCCACCTGCTAGTGTTTCAGCTCTGACAATTTATTAAGCAATAAACGGCAAAGCGCAGCCAAGAACTGTATAAATCTAGGCGGCTGGGACGCGCACTGCGTGAATCTCAAAAGGGAACATGAATCTTACACCATGTTGCTGGAGAACTTTCTTCTTCAACTATAGGCATTTATATTTCACGGGCTTGGGGATTGTTCTGTGGGGTTTCTGAAATATGGTTTCTCTACAGGCAATAGAAACATTAGCTGATGCCATCTCTTGGGCAGTAAAGATGGCAATAAAGGCTTCAGGAAACGGGACTGAGGCCTAAGGATCTAGGTCCCTACTCTGGCTCTGCGGAGGCAACCTGCTATGGCCAAGGAGAGATCATTGGGGCCTTTTTCCAGGACTCAGCTCTGACTCAGACAAAGGGAAATGCCATAGAAGGCAGAAAGGGCCAGGCGTGGTGACTCACACCTGTAATCTTAGCACTTTGGAAAGCAGAGGCGAGAGGATTGCCTGAGCCCAAGGGTTCAAGACCCTCCTAGACAGCTTGGCGAGACCCCATCTCTACAGTAAATCAAAAATTAGCCAGGCATGGTAGTGCATGCCTGTGGTTCCAGCTACTTGGAAGGCTGGGGCAGAAGGAACACCTGAACCCAGCAGGTCAAGGCAACGGTGGCCGTGAGTGTGGCACCGCACTCCAGCCTGGGCGACAGAGTGAGACTCCTACTCAAAAAAAAAAAAAGGCAGAATTATCAACTACCCCTCAATGCTTAAAACATACTACCTTTCCTCGGGCCTTCATAAGTAATACTGACTGTGTGTATATGCGTGTGTACACACACATTAGGATTTTTGTTTGTTGTTCTGTTTTGTTACTTTATTGGAAGAAGAGGGGCAGCAGAAGCGTGGCAACGTAACCCTCATAGGATTCTGGTAGAATGGTCTAGCAATTCAATTACCCAGTGATTTCATTACAAGTCTGACATTTCTGCGAGATGGATGTGACTTGGGGGTGAACGCTGGACTCCCTGGACGGTCATCCTCGTTTCTCAGGATGCTGAGCGGACACCAGTTTTTGAGAAGCAAAGAGAAGGGAAGAAGGCGTGACAAGGGAGACTGACTCCACACGCCGTCCTCTCCACAGGCTCTGCCGCGACGATGCCTTGAGTAAGACTTGAATAAAGGGGTCCTTTACAGTTCCAGAGAAACTTCGAGGAAGCACTATGACCCTTAAGGCTTTTCTGCCCTTATAGTACAGCCCCCACGGGACCCTCTAGCGAAGTCCCTACAGATGATCAGGTCAAAGAAAACACACACTGACCCGAGACCGAGAATCTTCAGGCTGGGCACAGTGACTCACGCCTGTAATCCCAGCACTTTGGGAGGCCGGGGAGGGAGGACTGCTTGAACTCAGGAATTCAAGACCAGCCTAGGCAACATAGAGAGACTTAGTCTCCTCAAAAATTAGCCAGGTGTGGTAGTGGGTGCCTGTAGCCCCAGCTACTGGCAAGGTTGAGGTGGAAGGATCGCCTGAGCCCAGGAGGTTGAGGCTGTGGTGAGCCAGGATGGTGACAGAGTGAGAGCCTGACTCAAAAAAGGAAAAAACCTAGTGGGATACCGCCAGTGTGGAGCCAGGGGGAGAGACACAACCATAATAAGGGTATCTGATCTCAAACCAGGCAAAACAGGGACCAAAGGGAGGCCCAAACTCTACCTGAATGATGTCCACTTGTATACCTAATCCTTAATTGCACCCCATATCTTTAAAATAAGATATATTTTTTAAAAAAAGAAAGAACGAACAATCTTTCAAAGTCCTAGCACTCACTCACCTTTCATTTGTCCCTTTTTTAAAATTTATTTTGTATTATAAAGATGTGGGGTACAATTCATTATTTTTTTACTGTAAAGATGTGGGGTACAATTCAGGGTTGGGTATACAAACGTTGATTATGCAGGTACCCTTGTTGATAGGTGTGCCCTCCTTCCCCTGGCAGTTTCCCTCAACTGCCAGTCCCACCCCGCCTCCCCTGACAGTTTCCCACTACTGCCAATCCCTGTCTTATAAGATTATGATAATTGTTCAAGGACCACTTATGAGTAAGAACATACGGTATTCTGTTCTTTGTTTCTGTGATAGATCACCAAGTATGATCGACTCTAAATCCATCCAAATTGCTGCAAAGTCCGTATGTTTGTCCTTCTTTATGGCTACACAATATTCCATTGTGTATATGTACCACATTTGTTTTTATCCAGTCCAGTTTCCATGGGCAGCAGGCTTTTTTTTTTTGTTTTTTTGTTTCTGATTCAGAGTCTCACTCTTCACCCAGGCTGGAGTGCAGTGACAAGACCATGGCTCACCGTAACCTTGACCTCCTGGGCTCAGATGATCCTCTCACCTCAGATTCCTGAGTATCTGGGACTACAGGCGTGTGCCTCCATGCTTGGCTAGTTTTTGTTTTTGTTTTTGTTTTTGTTTTGGTGGAGATGAGGTCTCACTATGTTGCCCAGGCTGGTCCCAAACTCCTGGGCTCAAGCAAACCTCCCGCCTTGGTCTCCCAAGTGCTGGGATTACAGGCTTGAGGCACGGTCCTTAATTCCTCAGTTCATTAGGACAACTAGTTCCTAAATCAGCTCCATCTCCCCACCCTGGGGAGTAAGAGGAGCAGAGTCTGTCTGTCACCTCCAAACACAGCAAATCATAAAAGATGACTTTAAAAATGAAAAAACCAGAGTGCCATCACCACGGCAACGATAAAACGCAGCCCATGAGGCCCGTCGGAAAAGTTCCCAGGAGAAGCACGTACCTCTCAGCTTAAACATCTCTCCGTTAGCGGAGTACACCACCAGCATGTGGGGGGCTTCGTCGCTCAGGGACACTATGGCTCCGGCCAGAGACAGGGCTCCTCGGGGCTTCTGGTGTTTGCTTTGCTCATTCACAAAATACTGCAGGATGCCAGCCTCAAAATCCAGAACAAAGTACCTGTGCAGAGAAACCACAGGACATCACGTTTCTCCCCAGCCAAGCCGACAAGCAGGGCCGTCCTGAAGCCACCAGCGAGGCGCCCAAACCGTGAAGCCGGAGACCTCGCGTCCCTCCCCTCCGCCCCAGAGATGGCAGCCCGAGTGAGGGGAGAGCCATGGACACTCAGACCACAGCAGGGCTTGGATGGAGCCACGGCAGGCTGTGGCACGATGCCACCGCTCCACTTGGTGCCCACGCACGCCACATGAAACCCCAGGAGGGCGGGAATGGTGGAAGCCTCACCACACAGCCCCTCGTGACATGTTCCACATGAGTCCAGGGGAACAGCTGGAACTCGAGGCCTCATGCCCAGAGAGCAACAGCAGGCTGGACCTCCCCCTCCTGCTGGAGGGACCAGGAGGAGTCTGAACACCGGTGTCATCTGCTGGGAGCTGGGGTGTTTCTGTGGCCACCCGGACACACACCGGCAGGACCTTTGTCACCCAAAGCGGCAAGGACTCCCCCTGCTCTGGGAGGCTGAAATGCCACTGAACGCCACGTCCGGGTAAAAAGAAGAGAATAGCAATTGGCCTAAATCGCACAACCAATCCTTGCAGCCAAATACCCGGCCTGTATATTTTCTCAAGCTATCACCCAGGAAGCAGTCAAGACGACGTCTCCCTCTCCACCAGGACGGAAATGTCTTCATCTGGGACTCAACCTCCTCCCGTGGCCTAGAGACCCAGCACGGCCCTGGCTGCCTTTTCTACCTCCTCAGGTCATGATCCACTCGCACTGGTCTTTTCTCTCTCCCTTCATATCCTCCAAGTTGCCTCCTCCCACAGGACCTTTGCACATGCTGTTCCCGCCGCCTGCAGCGGTGACTCTAAGTGGTCCACACATTTTGATGGTCCAAGTCCACCAACTTACCAATCCACAACAGTCTTCGGAAACTTTTCCTACGTTTGGCTTTGTTTCAACATCTAACTGCGTGATCAGTTGGACATGTCTCATTAAACAGTTCAGATACTATCAAACACACATCGGCCACTCAAGCCACCACTAGTCATGACTTAATCACAGTACCATGATGGAGGAGGCAAGTCAGTCCTTCACCACGGACAGTTGGAGAAAAACTTGCCTAGAATGTTTCTCCCACTGACTAGACTATGATTCCTTCCCCTTCTCGCCATGTTAAAGTCTCCCGACCAGGTCAAATATTCTTCCCCGTAGCACCTGGAAATTCTCCTTCGTGGCAGTGGCCCCCGTGGAAGTCCACATTTGCGTAATTATCTGAGTCAGCCTCTGGCTTCCCCCCTAGACTCGATGCTCCATGGAGGTAGAAAGTGTTTTTCCCCAGTGCCTGACACTCACTGCTGCCCATTTAACCTTTGTGAAAGCAATAGACAAAGACAGGCTGGGTTCGGTGGCTCAGCCTGTCATCCCAGCACTTTGGGAGGCCGAGGTGGGTGGACTGCCTGAGCCCGAGGGTTCGAGACTCACCTGGGCAACTTGGCGAGATCTCATCTCTACAATAAATCAAAAACTAGCCGGGCGTGGTAGCATATGCCTGTAGTTCCAGCTACTTCGAAGGTTGAGGTAGAAGGATCACCAGAGCCCAGCAGGTCAAGGGTGCAGTGGCTGGGAGCATGCCACTGTACTCCAGCCTGGGCGACAGAGTGAGACTCTGACTCAAAAAAAAAAAAAAGAAATGGACGAAGACAAAAGCCTCTGAAGCCCAGTTTCCCATCCATACACCTGGACAGCTGGGGCATACCATGAGTTCACGAAGACAACACAAAACACTCTACATATAGGAGAAATACATGGCAGGACTCACCATAGGTTAGACACTGACCGGGCATGGCGGCTCACGTCTGTAATCCCATTACTCTGGGAGGCCAAGGTGGGAGGATTGCTTAAGGCCAAGAGTTCGAGACCAGCCTGGGCAACATGGTGAGCTCCTGTCTACACTAAAATAATTTAAAAATTAGCTGGGTATGGTGGCACATGCCTGTCGTCCAGCCATTTGGGAGGCTGAGGTGGGAGGATTGCTTGAACCCAGGAGGCCAGGGCTGCAGTGAGCCATGAAACCTCGACTCAAAAAACAAAAATAAAAAAAGTGGATGTGAGAACAAAGGTCAGACAGATACCACCCACACTACTAACTTAGGCAGTTTTCACAGTTTCAGTATTAGACTGCATTCCGTTCCTCTCGATGCCAGTGTATCTTCGCAAAGGGTGTCAGCAGGTGCAGTGATTAAAAACAACGACAGCAACAATAAAAAAATCAACACAGACCGGGAAAAGAGACCAGCAATGACCAACGTGATTCCAAGACCTCAGAAGTCTTGGCTGCCGGCAGGCACATGCATCTCACTAATAAGTAAAGGTGGTTATTTAAGCAACTAAAATATTTTCCTTTCAACTGATATTTGTTACTTTTTTTCAAATGGCTCCTGAGTCTCTTGGACACAAATATGTATGAGACTGTTTGAGACAAACCACTGGAGAAGGAACCTGTGAGAGATTTCTTTGAACTTACAAGCAGCATTCACCAAGAAAGTTCACATACCTCTGACCTAATTCATTCTCCCAGCAAACCAACAGATATGACCCCCGTTTTCCAGATACCCCGGGACTTGAACGAACTCAAATTCGACGCAGCCCATCTGGGTCCGCATTCCAGGCTGGGTCCACACCAGCAATCATAGACTTATGTGCAGCTCACTTAAATCCCCCTCGTCACATCTCCATGTCACCTGTCCAGCACTTAAGAACTTTATTCTCCAGGCCAGGTGCAGGTGTGCACACCTACAATCCCAGCACTTTGGGAGGCTGAGGCAGGAGGACTGCTGGAGACCGGCGTTCGACCTCAGCCTAGGCAACAGAGCAGGACCTCATGTCTATAAAAAAAATTAAAAATAAATTTATGCTGGGCATGGTGGTACACGTCTGTCATACCAGCTCTTCAAGAGGCTGAGGCGGGAAGATTGCTTGAGCCCAGGAGGTCGAGGCTGTGGTGAGCCGTGCCACTGCACTCCAGCCTGGGAGACAGAGTGAGACCCCAACTCAAATAAAAAAAGGACTTGATCCTCCAAGTCTTCCTGCTCCAACAGAGCTCAAGAGCTAAAAGCTCCACCCCCACAAGACATCAAATGAGAAGACTAACCCCTAGGGAAAAAACTAAACTAAACTAAAAGCCCCTCTGCCTGGCAACAGGGGTCCCTGCCTGACCCCCCGCCCCGGGAGCAAGGTGCAGCCCTCCTCCTCCCAAGCCCCAATTCTTCTAAGAGACCCACTTTAAATTTTTTTTAACATTCCAGATGGCCTGGCCAAGACTATCTATTCTTCTCCTCCCTTTCCCTTCTATCTCTCAGTCCCTCTAATAAAGGGCCGGGTTCTCCCATCAGCAGGAATAAATCAAGACACCAACCTGTGTCACAACCAGGGCTACTCAAAGCGGATCACCAGTCCTGCAGAATCAACACCACCTGGGATCCGGTTCCCAATGGAAATTCTTGGGCCCCACCCAAGACCCGCCAGGGAATCAGAAACTCTGGGGGAGGAGCCCAGGAAGCTGTGGCTTTTTTGTGGTTTTTTTTGTGTTTTTTGAGTTGGAGTCTCACTCTGTCACCCAGATTGGAGTGCAGTGGCCGCTCCCGGCCACCGCAGCCTCGACCTGCTGGGCTCCGGCGATCCTTCCGCCTCAGCCTTCTGAGTAGCCGGAATTACAGGCATGCACTACCACGCCCGGCTGATTTTTGATTTATTGTAGAGATGAGGGCTCGCCAAGTTCCCCAGGTGGATCTCGAACCCGCGAGCTCAGTAAACTGTGTTTTAACAAGCTTCCAGGCAATTCTGGTGACGGGGAAGTTTGAGAAGCGCCTAAACTATCAGCATCAAACCCCTTTCCTCCTCTCTGAAAGGTCACAGCCAGAGAGAACAACCTCTTCTGCTTTTCTTGCACTGAGGGTGTGGCTGCTTGAACTTTAGGCAAATGGAATGTGAACACAAGTATCACAGGCCTGGCCCATAAACTAACACTCATCTCGTTCTCCCTCCCTCCCCTCTCCCTCCTCCCTCCCTTTTTCTCTCTCTCTCTCACACACACACACACACACACACACACACACACACACACACACACACACACACACACACACACACACACACACCTCGGAATGGAGACAATCTGCTCGGCAACTTAACCCCACAATAGGTTGAAAAAGACGCAAGATGAAAGGGCCTGGGTCCCTGAATCACCACCTGGAAGAGAATCACTGCTGAGGAACGCCCCCATCAGACCGTTCGCGACGCGAACGAGAAAGAAACTTTAATTAGGCCCTTCGGATCAACATCTGCTACATTGGCTCCTCTTACATGAACAAATACATAAAAAATTCTTTTTCTAATTTCTATTTTCATGGCCTTCTACGTGACGTTTGCTCCAACTCTTTCATGTGGGGTGAAAACCAAACTCCTGCCATGAGAGCAAACCAGGTTAACTTCTCAGCCGTTGATGGTCGAGTTATTTAAGTGCTGACTGTACCTCCGCCTTTAGGAAGGAGGGTTTTCTTCGGCCTGACCTATATTTAATAATCATCGTGACTTTCCCTGCACAGAAACTGCTCGTGGCAAGTCAGAACACTGACAGTCATCCTCACAAGGGTAGGAAAGAAGCCTGTAGGCGTAACGTTACAGCACACTGTGCCACCCCCAGAGTCACAGCTACGGCGTCCCCACTGACCGGCATGCCACACTTACCCAAGGGGACGTAGAAAAGAAAGGGGGAAAGCTTCCAAGGACTGGGCAAAAGCTATCCGCCCTCAATTTCCCCATCTACTCTACACCATTTGTTTATTCATTTATTTTTGAGTTGGGGTCTCACTCTGTCACCTAAAATGGAGGGCAGTGGCACAGCCAGGCCTCAACCTTCTGGGTTCAAGCAGTTCTCCCACCTCGGCCTCCAGATGAGTAGCTGGGACTATAGGAGCATGCTGCCACGTCCAGCTCATTTCTTATTTTTTATTTTTGTAGAGGTGAGGTCTCACTTTGTTGCCCAGGCTGGTCTTGAACTCCTGGGCTCAAGCGATCCTCCTGCCTCGGCTTTCCGAAGTGCTAGGATTACAGAGTGAGCCTCCACGCCCAGCCTGCTCTACACGACTGGTCGGAGTGGAGGAGAGCCTGGGTTTCTTTCTCCTCCTATCGACCAGGAACCTGTGGCTCTCCTGTCTCCTAGACACGGCTTCCCAAACGCATCCTGTTCACGCAAATCACTACATATTTCTAAAGGACATGATCAAATAAAGAAGTTCAGGCCGGGCTCAGTGGCTCAGCCTGTAATCCCGCGCCTTTGGGAGGCTG